CGATTGGGTTTACACAATGTTACTGTGATATTCCGAATGTTCGGCCCAGTCTGAAATGCAAAGGGGCATTACAAAACCTAAGTAGAATCATCCCACAGGACAAAACAAGCAATGATTGCAGTAAAATCAAAAGGCCTGTGGAAATCTATAGCAGATCCATCAGAGCGGCGTTTTCAGTAAACAGGGAATGTAAAAGATCAAATGGACTTTTAAGGCAAGTGGTCATGTCGAGGGCAAATAAGTGTTATATCGAAAAACTTAACGTTCCTGGATATTCGAAGGATTTTCGAGTAGTGTTTTCTTAATCGGAAGCTTTTTTTTTCAATAAAAAGGCATCAGTTTAGTTTTTGCTGAGCGTGCAATCTGTCAAACTGAAGGCAATTGTGCTTTGAAATGAGTAACATCTGACCATCCGGTATGCCACACGTCACGGGGAACAGAACTTCGAAGTTCAGGTAATGGGAAACACCCTGTGGCCACTTAGATAGCTAGACATATGGAGACGGGCCACACGATTCAAACTTATAACATTGTCTTCGACGGAGTTTTTCCCTGCGGAATGAAAAATGCATCAGCTACGAAGGGATATTGAAAATAATTTTTAGCATATAGATCTCGAAATGAGGCCCAGGGTGAGTTCATGACTTAGTGTCTGTCATTCAAAATCCTTCCCTGGTTTGTATTACTTAGCGTCTTCCATAAAATTGCATACAGACGACCGCGGAAGCAAACAGTTGTCACTCAACTTTTTGCCGTAACCAATGACATGGCAACAAGGTGGACAGCAAACGGTATAAATATAGGCGTATATGCTATGCGAAATTGTCAAACTATAGCTCCTACAGTGACATCGGTTGGACACGATGAGATTTGCTTCGTCGATGCTAATTCAGGCTGCGCTGATTTCCATGGTCGTCGTCTCTGGTGCGTTTGATCGTTTAACACAATTACAAGCAATTGATATAAGTCACTATGCTTGGTAAATAGGCCGCTTTATTTTATTCAGCGGGTATATATCATCCAGCAAGCAAGACATGTGCTCTTGTCTTAACCATTTGTAAGGCATAATACCCCATTTCGACATCTGTTAATAAATCGAAAATGCAAGTAAAAGTATGTTTCTTTGTCAACTTACGTATTCGTCCCTTTTATGTTCAGAAGGCACACAAGAAATATGCAAAGGTGATCACACAGACTGCACCAATCTGCCCTACAGTACAGGAGATCCAGATAAAGATGCAAGCTGTCGCAATATATGCGCACATCAACGAGGTCTGTACATAGTTTTATGGACTTTTCAACTTTGTCCGTTATAACTGCAAACGTTTCGCGCGTTCGCTTTCGCCTGCTCATCCAGAATATGGAAATTAATAAGTAACTTATTTCTTTGTCTCAAGAGGGCATAACTGAGAAAACGACGGCCTACTATTGTGAAGCGTCTGATCAGCCGTGCAGTGCGTATGATGTCTATGGAAGAAAAGGCCACAGCCGAATCTTTGAGAGGCATGTGATGTGTGTTCTGACGTGTCAGCTGGTAGGGCAGGGTAAGCAGCTTTGCGACACTCATTGCTTTTATATGATTTCATAAACTTTTTTCACATTAGACATTGGTGAAAGGAGAAATTTGAGCCAGAAATGGACTTTGTGAAAAGCAAGCTATTCTGACTAACCCGGCATTGATCATGTATTTTTAGTGGAAAACAGCTCCGCGAAGTTCTTTAAAGTGTGCAACGAGAAAAAGCAGAAATGCCTCAAGATCAAGAAGAAGGACTTTACTGCTTACAAACAATGCGTTTCCCAGTGCAGCGGTTGGACCGATCGTAAGCTACCATGTTAACGGCATATTTTTGCTGAATGCTTTTGCTCTGTCGATTATGATTTTGCTTCAGTTTTCTCCACTCGCTGACATTTTTCGTGGTTTTTTTCAAGCTGAAAATAAGAAAGAGCACACAGCATATACCTGCACCGAACGTGGTGACTGTCAGGAAGGGACATACTTCACCAAGTCAAACGAAACGCCATTCAAAAGTGTGAAGACGTGTTTGGAGAGATGCCTAACAGGTAGTGTTTCAACTGCACTGTAGGTTTCCAGAAACATTGTCGTTTTTCAGCGAGAGGGAATTGTCAATAGGAAAGCCTGCCACCATTAAATGAGAATATCAATATCGCGCAGATACAGGTCTGCTTAAATGCATAGTCGTGATTTAAGGCCCAATTTCCAGGCACGTATCACAACGGGTAGCGATCTCCCGTTCTTCTCGCCGAACCTCTTAAAGAAGATTCCTATAGAATGCCTTAATCAGCAGTGAGAAAAATAGTTTCATACGGCTTTTACCTAAGCAACTAGGTTTTTATTTTATAACACCTCAATTGTCGCTCGCTAACGATTTGCTGAAGATCAAGTGGAATACAAGGATTTCTTATGTGCACTTTGATTTCTTTACAGTCACATTTCTAATCCATCTGTCTCACGTTATTTTCCTGTGTTTATTTTAGAATAAGGCTTCACATCAATGCTTGGCTCAAAGGGGATGGTATTGCCACAGTTTCATGATTGGCGTGGTGTGGATGTTGGTATTTTGCAAAATCATTTCCATCGAATAAAAAGGACCTGGGAATTCTTAAATGTTTTTGACCAAATTGCAGGAAACAAAGCCTGCATTATTACTCTTATTCGGTGGCACCTGTTCATTACAGTTCGGTGTTTTCAAGGGTAGTAATAAATGAAAGAGAAGACTCTATTTTAAACCATAAATACAATATAAGGAGTCCGTGTAATTCACATGTTGCTGTGCCACCGAATGCCTATAGCAATCGATTGCGCTCAATTTCAGCAAGAATTGTTGACCGCTGGTGCGTTAATGGCTTGATGGCGGGCATGCAAGTTGGTAATTTCTGAAATCTTATCGCTCGAATTGCGCGCCTCCGAGTGGCCAATTACATTGGCCCGCCTATGCCTACCCCCGGGATATGGAGTGCGGACGTTGTTGCACTTGTTGATACGCTAAGGTTCCGTGAAACAAGACTCAGGTTACTCGCGGATCACGTGTTTTTGTCCTCTCGCGAGAATTTCGGCCTCATCGAACTAGAATGCATGGACGGGTCTCGTCGAATAGGCCGCGACCTGAGAGTTGGCGTCATTTATCCGCACCGCTGACGCGTGTTTGGCAATTCGTGTCCGGAGCAGTCTTCCAGTTTCTCCAACGTAGTTGCTTTGTCCGCAACTGCGCCCGATGCGCAAACCAGTCCAGATGTTTTTGCCATGGGAGTGGATCATTTGGTTTTATCGCCTGGTGCCTTATGATGGCCTCCGTCTGTGTGCAAGTCCAATCCCAAGTGGTGCCAGAAGGCGAGTAATGACCTCGGAGACGTTCTTTATGTACGCGATCTCTCGCCAGAATTTGAGGTCAGCAGGATTTTTTCGATCGTCTCGTTTGCACTGACGAAGTTGTGCGGGTAACCCTTTCCTGTGAAAACTCGTCGAAAATATGAGGATTCGGCAACCTAGTCTTCCGGTTCACTGCAATGCGTCCATATAGCGTTCTTGCGCAAATGCGTCTGTGATGGATACGATGCTTGCTGGTGAAATGCAGCGTTTGCGTCCTATTCGCCGCTTTCCTCAACACTGTTGGGCTTTGGGCCACCACAATCTTCGCGACAGACGGGGGCATCAAGGAATGCCAGATTTGCCGGATCGGCTGCAGTTTCGGACAAAGCATATATGTCGGAGAAAATGGGAGACTGCTCCATGGAGGCTTACCGATATTTTAGAATTTGTAAGACGCCCTAATTTTGTGGGCATTGGAGCATCCCTCATCGATAACATGATCTTTCTAACCAACTAATTATTTTCAAATACTTCTATCTGCGTAATACTGCAAAGCCTTAATTCTGAGACTGAACTCTTCGCAAAGCTTGCGTGGTAATTATACACATGACCGAATTTCTCGATTTCTGATAAAACTTCCGACAACTGGATAGACATAAATTGTATAACCAATATGTCATTCGGTCACGTTGGCTATATTGCCAAATATTATTTATTATACGAATTGAATCAGTGAGGCATACAGCGATTTTTATATTCAGGCATCATCCTCACACTGTTCCTCATCTAAATCTGTAATTTATCCCTAAGACAAATCGCGTGGTAGAAAGTTCCCCAGGTTTTAAACACTGACAGCCTCGTCTGAAGAACAAAAACAGTGAGAGTGTTCGGATGAAAGAACATGCCCCTGGTGATGAAGTGGAATTGTTGATCGTTACAAAGGTTACCCACCTGTTTGAGGAAACCTTTGATAAAAAGAAAATCCGAGTGATGAGAATGCGAAATGATTTCTGTTGGTGCGTGCATTTTTAAAAGTTACAACACGGTGGTGCACTGAGTGTTTAGACTTGGCTTATAATGGGCAGTACCACTTTGAGAGGAGATCTCCCAGGTAAACTTACGGCCGCCATTACCTGAAAGGGTGGTCTGACAGTTTTTGATAGGCTCTGATGTCAACGATATCGGATTTTTTCTAGAGTACAAATTATGATCCGCGTGAGTTTGCCAAACGGCAATAACTTCGACGGGTTTTCAAATTCAATGGCTACCCGCGCAACCTCGTCCACCGGGGCCTACGCAAAAGGGACGAAATTCCAAACCGCACGGATACCAAAATTTTGGCGAGCCCATCCGCATCTCATGAACGTTTCGGAAGCTGTCGGCTGCCCTCCCGCGCCACTTGGGTTTGGAATTGCAAATAGACCGGAGGCGTCAGGTAATGAAATCGGAAGCCCCGCTGCCATTGTAAGAAACATCTAGGGTCTTTTATCGGATGTGATGCAGTTGCGGACAAAGCAATTACGTCGGATAAACCGGAGGACATCTTCTAACGCAAATGGCCGAACACGTTGTAGCGGTGCAAATAAATAACCTCTGCTCTCAAGTTGCGGCTCATTGGACGAGACCTTGACACACATTCTATTCAACGAGGTCGGAATTTCTCGATGGAGGTGACAACCGCGTTAGCTGCGACCTGCTTGAGGCATGGTTCAGTGACCCACAGTCCATGAACAAGTGCAGCGTCCTTCCTTTCCATACTCGGTGGTGAGACTTCGCCTAGGCGAAGTAATATGACACGCTGGGAGATCACACGTAAACAATGTTCCCAACATCAGGATCGGTGGGTGAGATGGTCGAGCAATCCTCACAACAATATTCACCACACGTAATGAAATTGCAGCGATAAACGCCGTGAATATCTGCCATCAAGCAGTCATCACACCAAGTGCAAAGGTCCCTGATGAAGAGGGGGGCGGTGGGAGCCGTGAATATTCATCAGTAGGCAATAGCATGGCTACTGCATCCTACAAATACTACAGCCTCTTATGTATGAACACCCCACATCTGCTATTGTCTGTGATAATGTGTTCGAGCAGGAATCCGAAACGTCAGGCTAAACATGCTCTTGCCTCATCGATCGTGTCTTCATTCTGCGTGTCAGTAGGTGATTTGTCAAAACAGTCAATGTCATGTCAGCCACTGACGGAATTGTGAATGAGTGCCTGTTCTCACTTAGCGCATCTGCCGGATAGTTGTATCGTTTGAGTTCCGATCGACAATCATTAATACCACGAGTACGAATAAATGTATGTTCGACGCTGTAGGGACGTTTTCCCGACATCCACTTGTAGGGCTATTTCGTGATACTCGAGACTTGGATAAATATGTTTCTTTCGACCTTTATATCATCCGTACGAAATAAAGTTTGTTAAACCTGACTGATAGATTCTGGCGGCATCTTCTTATACAAACATTTTCCTGTGACCTTCATGTTTTTAGCTCTATAATCTGGCATGCTTGACTCCGTGAAGCTTATGTTCAACCAGTCCTCTTCAACAGACGTCACTTTAATGGAAGACACGTTCTGCACCATTGAGACGATATATAAAGACAAAAGGCTGTCACATTTGCCGAATTTTGGCGTGCTGGAAGACAAGTATTTGTTCATAATCCGCGAAGTGTTTCGCAGCCAGATACAATTGGTCCATTTTGTTCACTGTGCACATGTGTTCGTTATCACGAGTTTGTAACCGTTTGCTTATCTATCGGCGTAGTTAGCTTCAAAACAGTAACAGTGGACCCGTTAGATGACACTTGTCGTTTCGACTCTTGGCAGGGGGGAGAGCCACAGTCTCATATATAAACGTCGAATTTTTGAGTTTGTTCGATAAGCGATTTCGATCAACAAGAGTCGTAGGGGGCGGAAAATTGCCTCAGAGACGAAGTAGCATGGCGACTGCATCCTATAAATACTGCAGCCTCTTATGTTTGAACCCTCACATATGCTATGTTTGTGATGATGTGTTCGAACAGGAATTCGAAACGTCAGGCTAATAAAGCCCCTGTCTCATCAATCATGTCTCCTTCTGCATTCAATGTCATCTCAACCAGTGACATCATTGTCAATGACTGACTGTTCTCCCTTGGTGCATCTGCCGGCTAAGTTCCGATCGGCAAGATCAACGCGGCTGAAAGGTTCTCCCGACACTCACTTGTAGGGCTGTTTCGGGCCAATCGAGACTTGGACAAGCATGGTTCTTACGACCCTTACATTTTCCGTACAAAATGAATTTTGTTCAACCTGACTGAGAGTTTCCGGTGGCATCTGCTTATACCAGCATTTTTCCTGTGACCTGTACATGTTTAAACCCAGACTGTGGCATGCTTGACTTCGTGCGGCTTATGGTTAGCGAGCCGTCTCCAACAGAGGTCAATTTAATGGAAGACGTTCTCTGCACAATAGAGACGAAATATAAAGACAAGAGCCTCATGCATTGGCAGAATTTTGGCGTGCTGGAAGACAATTGTTTGTCCAGATTCTGCGCTGCTTTCCGCTGCCAGAGGCAATTGGTTTATTCTGCTCACTGCCCGCATGTGTTCGGTAACACGGGTTACTAACCGCTTGCTCATCTCTCGGCGTAGTTAGCTTCAGAAGAGTAACACTGGACCCGCTGGAGATAATTTGTCGTCTTGCCTTGTGGCAGAGGGGCCTTCAGTCGCATGTATAAATGTCGAATGGATGAGTTTGTTTCATGAGTGATTCCGATCTCCAAGTGTCGTAGGATGCAGTAAACTGCCTCATAGACGCCGTCGATGTACGACAGTGCACGCCAAAATTTTGGCTGTTTTATCACCCGATGTTGGCCTGACTAACACTGCCTCATGCGCTCGATTCTATTACGCTGCATCTGTTGACCATGAAAAGACGCTGAGTGTAGCGGAGTCCTAGCTTTCTGTCGTCCGAATCTCTGCAGTGTGTTTCTGCTCTACTGTCGTAGGTTAGCGCACATCTGTGTTTATGACGCAACGAGTCGGGGCAATGAGCGCACAGTTGGGGAAACAATTGATGTTTGACAAACGGATACTGCCACAATGAGCCGTTGTGCTGCCATTCCGGCAGCCTACCAAGCCCTCCGGGTGCAGCTCAACGAACGAAAGAACAAACATGATGTTAGGCCAGACGCGAATCCAAACACGGGAATGGGGTACCCGCTGCCGACAACGAACCAATCAGCAGTGGTCTACGGCATACCGTGCCAACGAGCTCGAAACCACTGTAGTGACGGCGACGACGACGACGACGGAAAAAAAGGAGGAGGCAAAATAACTACATTATTTATTCCCAGACAATGGCCACCCACGATCCTTCATACGTGAGTGCCCATCAAAGACTGCCCGTCAATGATTAGACAGTGAGAAGCCGAAGTTAAGCCTGCGATCCTCTACGCAAGGAACGTTTGCGCGGCGACAGCTAGAATACTAAACCATTTTGAGATTGCGGTGGCTCATAAACCGGAATTCACTATCAGAGTGCAGATAATGAGACCCAAAGACCCGCTATCGGCAACATAACAATCAGCAGTGGTCTACAGCATATCGTGCCAACATTGCAATCTGAGGTATGTTGGCGAAACGGGGAAACGCCTCTGCACAAGACTGCATGCACACCTGCTTCAAGTTAACCGCAAGGATAGACTGTCACAGGTATATGGCCACCTGCAAACGGAGAAACAAAAGTTTCGTCTTTGGGGGAGCAAGTGTCCTCGGTCGAGCTGGTCCTCGAAAGTTGGTTCTAAGTTGGCACAATGAACAGGGCTATTGATCTTCATCCGGCTGACCAGGCGCTACTTACGAGGTTCCAGTCAGTCCAGACAAGGCCGGCAGCCCTGGTGAGCGCGTCTAGGCTCCTCCAAAACGTTGCCACCTTCACAACAGGGGGTTCGTGCTATCCGGAGGTCGCACGACCAACGCGATATATCGACACGCCGGCGTGCCTAAACAACCGAGCGTAATTCGTACATTCAACGGCTGCTGATCAATCCATCCAATTATGAGGGGAGTGCCTACACGCACACAGATTTTGCAGCGACTACGACAGACGGTCAGAAGGCAGAGGTCACAGGGGTGCGCCATCGGTCGCCCGCGGGGCCCCAAGCCAATCCCCAGTCCGAAGACAAGTGAGAGTTCGTGCGTCAGGCATGCCTTTAACACAAGACAGACGCGATACAGAACAACACCGGGCCAGCAGGAACAGACAACCCACCACTCTGATGAAGGAAACGAGGAAGTTTCCCAAACGTCTGCACCAATACAGTGTGATCCATGCAATCGCCCCTTTTTCCTCTTCGCCTTCTTTTGTAGATATTGAACGGAGAGTATATATTCAATAAGGAATGGGCGCACACAGATTTAGTGGATTCCCGACGAAAACCAATCTCCGTGAGGAGACAAATTTCATGGACCAGCAAACAAGCAACAAGTCAAAGTCGGTCAAGTCATAATAGCAACCTGGTCGTTCGTTCTTCTGTATTCCCGCACCAGCTAAATACATCGTTCGTCGAAGTTGTCCTCGAAAGCGCATGCTCCATTCAATCCACAAATTTTCTCGCTATCGAGAAGATCACTTTTCTTCGCGGACATGAGGCCAGTTCGAACGCTTGGATGGATAATTCTTGGCAACATTTGAGTGCGTGTTTGTGCTAGTGCATGCGAGTTCGTGCAAGCAAACAGTAATGGCTGTGCAAATCGCAAAACACTTCATGAATGCCGTCCGACATCTACCAGACGTAATCGGTTACCCTTTCTTGACACTTTTAGGCACCACGGAAGTTTCCGATCATCAGCATGTCATAGGCCTTACGGAGTAAGGCATGAAGCCCGCCAATTTAATGTGCGACTCTGAGTGCTGTGCTTAGGATCTCATTCGATCCCATTTCGTCTGTCCGCCTGCCTAAAGCCAAGGACGCATTGATGACCGGTATCGACCGTTAAACAGCTGTATGCCTTTGGTTTATTGCAAGCTTGGTGACATGCTCACGTGTAGTATGCGTCCTATGACACAGCATTAATGATCGCCGGTAACAGGATGAGATCGAGTGAGATCCTAACCACAATAGTGGCGGTCATACGCTTATTTGGCATGTAAATATATATAAACATGAGTTAATATTCCGGATTCAGATAAATTATCCCGCTCATCCTCCCCAAAATATGACGAAGAAGAAAAAAGAGGCGATTCCATGGACCACACTGCATTTGTGCTGACGTTTCGGATATTTTCTCGTTTCCATCGTCAGAGTGGTGGGTTGTTTGTTTCTGCTAGCCCAGACTTGTCCTGTCTCGCCGCCTGTGTCTGGTGAACTCTTCTCCTTCTTCACCAACCACAGGCACACGGACAGAGGGGGTAGAGGCCACAGGGGCGCGTCATCGGCTGACCGCGGAGGTGCCAAAGCCAATCCAAAGCCAGAAGCCAGTATAACATTGGATTCGCTAGCCGTATGGCCACTGCCTCGGCCATTGCTAATATCCTTTGGCGTTGGTCTTTAGAGAAGCTTGTTGGCGTCCGGTAGACAACCTGAAATGCTTCCTTAGTCTCAAATTGGTGATTCGTATGGATTAAATGTGCAAGAGAAGAACTCGGAATCGATCGGGTCTCACCTCTGTCTAGCCAGTCGGACATAAGTTCACCCCTCTCCTTGCCAGGCGTCTCGTTGTACGGCCGATGCATCCCGCTCCACAACAGCACATGCATGAATAGCTTCAACAAACCCAAAGGAGTCCTTCAAACTTCGACGATACAGATGACTTTGCTGTGGCTTTAGCCTATCCATTAACCGTTGTGTAACGGTGTGATGGGATGTATTTTCAATCTCCAAGATTAAACGTAATAGGAAGCCCTGGTTTGTGGATTTTAGGAAGGCCGTACATTCTTGGTATTGTCGAGCCCACCGGCCTCAGTCATTCATATTCTTTATTAGACAAATGACCATCTTTGCAGAAATGTTTCAGAATAGTCGTCAGCTGATCCTCTGCAGCCTCTGTGTGATCCTTATCTTTCTCGGATTTTAAAACTTGGAACGATCCGACAGTAGTACCTCTAGTTTCGCAACATAACCCGTTTTATGCATTAGTACTACTCCTGAACCCTTATCCGGTCTGGTTAGCACAATGTATTAGTTTTTGCGAAGTTCCCTGAGGCTATCGACATGAGCCCTTGTCAAGAGGCCCTTGTTTATCGGGAGTTTCTTAGATAGTGTTGGCAGCAGTTAACCAGAGTCGACTTACTACAATCAACTTCTTTAGGATCGCTACGTTTTAGATCTGCAGTCTGACTAACGAGACTCTTAAATTGGATGCCTAGCTCTACGTGTTTCGGAATATTGATGCACGTAACGTTTCGGATTGTTCGGAAGGATGGTCTGAGGTATACTGACTGTACGCTTTGTAGGAGCTTAGTCCACCTGGCCTCCAAACTCCGTAAGTTATATTGGTTTTATTTAGTGAATTAACATAAATCGAGTGCTTCCTATAAGCAAGGTGACAATCGACGTTTAAGCCCGTGTCTGCGTAGGCTACTAGCTGATTGCAGATCTGAATTGTTTGTTGTTGAGTCGAAAACTTCGGGACATGTTAGAAAGTAGGTTTAAAACGTCTAGTATGCAAGGAACACGTTCTCCTCAATCTAATCGAACGAAGCCTTAATAGGAAACATAAACATTCAATAAGGAGACGGAAACAAGGTAAACGCTCAGTTGTTAGAACAGTTAATTCAGGTAAAGTTGCTTTATGCAGTTTCGAATGCGAGAAGAGGAAGGTTTAAAGTAAAGTGAGATTCATCTTACGCGTCATTGGCAATACAGGATGGCAAATTAATACTCTCGAACAAAGCAACTATGCGACTTTATAACAAAATCACATGCATATCGAAAGTAGGAATGGAGGCCAACTTCCTATTCAGATGTAAACAGTCAATTAACATATTAAAGGTAAATGACAGAAGACCTCAGAAGTCCACTTAACCGGTACATGTGTGAGTGATAAAGGTTAATTAGCGGTGTCAGCAGTGGGTCCACGTGATGGTCGTAGTGGTCGCTCACTTGCTTGCAGGTGGGACTACGCCTAGCGTCCATTTGCTGGCACCTAACTCACACCTGTGGCTCCACGTAGCTGGGCTCTGCTCAGCGGCCACACCCCGGGCAACCGTCTCGACCGGCGGGCTAAACCAGGTGAGGGTATCCGTGCGTGCACCTGCACGCGCGGTACTGTGGTCTGCGCTGGCCGGATGGATCTTCGCGTCGACATCGTCGAGACGAGGCTCTGCCTGGACCATCGCAGGAGGCCACCAGGTAAGTTCCCCCTCAGGTAAGTGCGTTTGCTTTGTTTCTTCCTTTTGTTTGTTGAAGTTCCGCGTCGTACGCTGCGCTTGCTGCCTGCCCTTTATATGCTAGTCTGTCTGTTAATAGCTAAACGACACCCTCGATGCCTGCTGCGATTGTCTGTCCGTCAGTCTATGCCACTCTCTACTAATAGCTAGGTGTTACGGTGCTTGACTTTGTGTGGTGCCCTCACTTTGTCTCTGACTGATGACTGTGTCCGCTTGTTCACTCTAGTTCTAATTCCCCTAGCGTTAGTTAGTGTGTATGCTCTCTCCTACTTCACTCCATCACATCATCACCTCACCACCAAGGTCCCAGGCTAATTCGGGTCGTTCTCTCACTAACAAAAAGTCGTGGCCCATAGTGGAGTCCGGCAGCCGTCT